ACTTAAATTTAACATAACTTTATCCTAAAATTTACTGAACTTTAACTTAACTTTAAGCATCAACTTTAACTTTAACATAACGTTAACTAAACTTAACTTAAATTTAACTTAACTTTAACTTACCTATAGCATAACTTTAACTTAAATTTACTGGAACATAATTGTAGCAAAACTTCACCTTAAATTGAAACAAATTCAACATAAATTTAATTTATTTTTAGCATAACTTTAACTTTAACATAACTTTAAATTTAAATTAATTATAACTTAACATTACCATAACTTTAACGTAACTTTAACTTTAACATAAATTTAATTTAAAGTTAACTTTAACATAACTCATACATAAATTTGAATAAACTTCACCTTAACATAATTTTAACTTACCATTAACTTAACGTTAACTTAAATTTAACTTAACTTTAACTTAACGTTAACTTAACTTCAACATAACTTTAACTTACCTTTAACTTAACTTTATCTTAAACATAAAGTAACTTAACTTTATCTTAACATAAACATAACTGTAACTTACCTTTAACTTAACTTAAACATAACCTTAACTTAACTCTAGCTTAACTTTAACGTAACATTAACTAAATTTTAACTTTTGTTTTAACAAATGTTTATCTTACTATTAACAGAACTTTAAATTTAACATAACATTAACTTAACTTTTACTTTACTTTAACATAATTATAGCATGAAATTAACATAACTCTAACTTAATTAGCCGAACTTTAACTTAACTTCAACATAATTTTAACTTTAATTTAGTTGTTACATACTTAATTTAACTTAACATTGAAATAACTTTAACTTTTACTTAATTTTAATAAAAATTTAACTTAACTTTACCTTAAACATAAACATCGGGATCCGGCATCGGCATGCGTTGCATCTGTAAAGATGCTTAACTCAGCCGGATTCCTCCAGCGGATCAGTGGAAGCAGCCGGCTGAAAAAAAGTATTTTAAAAAATCATCAAATTTTTTATCTGTCTGTTAGTATTTGTAATTACTTTCCAATATTGATCCGTTGGATGAATCCGGTTGAGTTATGTATCCTAACTGATGCAACGCATCAATAAGGATGCTCAACTCAGCCGGATTCCTCCAGCGGATCAATTTTGAAAAACAATTACATCAAAATTGATCCGCCGGAGGAATCCGGATGAATTAAACATCCTTATTGATGCGTTGCATCAGTAAGAATGCTTAACTTAGCCGGATTCCTCCAGCGGATCAATTTTCAAAAATATGTCAATTAATAACACAAACAGTTTAATACTTACCCTATTCAACTTCTTGTCGCCAGCTCTACCTCCGATAATCCGGAATTGTACTGGATCTGGCTGAAAAAAAAATGTCAATATCAATTATCATGCACAATTTGCATGCAGAATATTTACCATATTTACCTTCCATATTCCATTAGCTGCTCTCCCAAGATGGCCATCGGAGGCCATTTTCGTGGCGCGGATAAAAAAAAACACTTCTCCACTCGCACGATATGAAAAGATGACTGACAGCCACCGCGAAAAAAAATCACAAAAAAATGGCTAAGTTCCATTCGCTATTTGGTAGCCCGGCGCATGAAATTACTCTAGCGGGGCGAGTCGCCTTTTGTCCGGATCCCGGAGCGCCATTTGGTCGCCCGGCGGATGAAATTACACTAGCGGGGCGAGTCGCCTTTCGTCCGGATCCCGGAGCGCCATTTGGTCGCCCGGCGGATGAAATTACTCTAGCGGGGCGAGTCGCCCTTCGTCCGCATTCCGAACAAAGGGCGAACGATCAGTCTTCAAGTCGCTCAATGTCAAATGACGTCACTTTTTCGCCGGCAATTCGTGTGGGTGGTCTAGCCTTGAGTGTAGTATCAAATATGACTTCCATGTGTGCTACGAAGTTATGGTCTCACACTCCCCCTCGTTTTTCAATCTACGACTGAGCTAACAATATTCATGCGACTCACACTCCCACGCTATCTCTCTGATTCTTCAGTAGTGATGTCCTATTACTTCTCGATTAATAAATAATCATTTAATTGAGAAAATCGGACATCACTATACTCTTCAGCCACATTTGCTGGTCAATTCCTTCTAGATTAGTCATGTGCTACAGTCTGAAACAACTGGTCTCACTCACTCACTTATCAAACAGCGCTAAGGTAGATCACCTGTCTCGCTCTTGCTCTTCAGCCTGTAGGCTGGCGTAGCAATGTAGTAGTAGTAGTGCGCTTCAGTGTTACACTGGACTCGCTTTTTCCTGTAGCGCTTCGGTTTACAACCGGACTCGCTTGTGCTCTGCAGCTCATCAGCTGGCCTAGCAATGTTGTTCCTAATGCGCTTCAGTATTTCACTGGACTCGCTTTTTTTTCTCTAGCGCTTCGGTTGATAACCGGACTCGCTTGTGCTCTACAGCTCAACAACTGGCCTAGCAATGTGATAGTGCGCTTCAGTGTTTCACTGGACTCGCTTTTTCCTCTAGCGCTTCGGTTGAAAACCGGACTCGCGTAGCACTGCAGCTTCTTAGCTGGACTTGCTTCATCATAATTTGTTTCCACAGGTGCATCTTTAAACACAATTCATGAAATTACCTCTACGTACCGTATCCAAGTAAAATTATCCTCCATCTCTCCAGTCACCGATCTCTATAAAAAATCGTACCGGCTGCGCCAAATTGTAGAATCACCCGATGCCTCTTGGTTCGTTCTGTTTCAACCAGCTACTGTCGTCCACCTCCAGTGATATTCGTATCGCAACTAACTCGATATCGCTTGTGATCATCCTCTCGTTCCTAGTTCGCCAATACTACTAGACGAATACAGGGATGTATTCTAGCCCAACCATACAGAGGCGTACCTCTGCATAACGTATAATATTACTGAACTCTACAGCGGTGAAAAGCGTTTATAGCACTTTTCAATGACTCCTTAACAACCGGATAGAAGCAACTTTTATACAACGTTTATAGATACATATTTAAAGTCAAGCTTTATTGTTTTGGTGAAAGCTCTTATACAACGTTTGTAGACACTTCCTGACAGCTGCTTTGAAATTTAGAGAGGAAACCTGAGAGGCGTTTGTTACACTCTTTTATGACTCCTAAATAATCTATGTACAGCAAGCGGTGAAAAGCGTTTATAACACTTTTCAATGACTCCTTAATAACCGTTGTGTAAGTACTCACAATATCACAGATTAAAATTAGTTTAACAATTGTCGTGGTACGCCAAAATAATTGCTTGTACAGTTTTTATTAATTTAATTTATTTGTGCACATTGAAAAAATATGTAATTATGCATCTGTTTAATCTTTGATTGATATTCTTTCAATTAATCTCTCTAATCATTAATTGAGAGAATTTATCTAGAAATATTATCGTTGATTATATGATATATGTCTTAAATTAATGTTTGCATTTATTAATAACACCTATATATAATTTACCTCTACTCCACCGAGGGTTTCTCGAAGCAAGATTCGAACTCATGATCCCGGATTGCCAGCCGCTTCTGTTTCCATCTGCTCTATTCTTGAATACATATTTTGATCATATGAGAGAAGTATATGAAGCTCATCTTGAGTGACTTCTCTTGCAGTCGAATAATCATTGCCTTATGGTCATATAAACGTGCCTATCACTTGTGCTATTTTTAGCAACAAAATTGTGGTTGGTGGTTGGTCGAACGTAAACAATCATTTAAGAGTGCTCCAAGCAGCTTTTGAAGCTTTTAACCAAATGGCAATACAACTATATTCTTGTACAACTCTGGAAGCTATTATTCAATGTTTGATCAACTCAGGTGTTTTATAAGAGCTCCCAATGGTTTGTTTTGATGCGTTTATTCCACGTTCTATATAGCTCTTGTCAATCGGTTTAACTAAGGTGCTATAAAAGTTATCGTAGGTCTTATAAAGCATATAGTTAAACCGAACGTAAACAATCATTTAAGAGCAGCTTTTGAAGCTTCTAACCAAAAAGGCAATACAACTACATTCTTGTTCAACTCTGGAAGCTATTATTCAACGTTTGATCAACTCAGGTCTTTTATAAGAGCTCTCAATTGTTTGTTGGGAAGTTATTAAACATATGTATAAATCTTATGGATGAAATGAATCCTGCTTAAATGAAAAGTATAAGGCTGATTAATACTTTTTATGAACTTTGAACCATAAGAATCATTGAATTCGATTTTGTATTGATGAAGTCCCTTTTCAATATTGTTTACTTTTATATTTCATTAGAAAAAAACATAAAAACGAATTGGTTTTTTATGAATAATGATAGATATATGAGTGGTTTGAACTTCATGCATCATTTCGTGCCTCGTGCATACTGGAACCGGAATTATTTACAGCCCCGCCCTAATAAAAAATTACCATAAACGAACGATAATCCAAATGATTGCACTATTCCACAAATGGTTTGGATGATACCCAGAACACGTCGTTAAGCAAATTAACCATAACATTTTTATTAGGGCGAGCTTCCGAGCATGGATCTGGAAAGTATAGTGTGCAACTGAAGATTAATTTCTCAGTGCTTTATGATTGGGATCCGAAATTGTCCTCATGCCGTTGATCCTTCTGCATACCGAGAGCACCTGTCGTACCGAGTATCTCTGCGTTGATGATTTAAAATCTATGAATGGAATGATGATTATTATATAAGCTGTAAATTTTCTACTCCCGTGGCTGACATCCTTTTCTGATTCAGTCAAAAACAACTGTTATTTTTCAAAGCAGTGCTATGTAAAAAATATAAGTCTATTCTTATGATCAAAATAAATGATTTTCTTTGAGTGTAGTGTTCCGATTAAAAACGGTCAAATTACCGGTGGTCCACTGTATAACATTCAAGGCACGTTCACGCGGATTGGTTTATCCGCAGTTCATCCTCTCGTTCATCCTTCATCCGGAGTTCGGCTCTGAACGTGTCATCTTCGTACTAAAAAGTAGTACAAACTTTTTCCAAACAAAAACATGTCAACCAGTTTCCTCGTGCATGTTCGGTCGGGTTGATCCGCTGTAAAATTGGAATAAAAATCGGTTTCATCTAGGTACGTGCAAATTCCCATTTCACAACCGATAGCGATAGTGCAGAACTCGTTGAAAGTAAAGTGAGGTAAATGTTAACGTTTCTCCGCCGCGCCGTAGTTTCCGTAGATTTATCTCGCGGCAGTTGTGTGATACCGAGGCTGCTTCACCGGTCCCCGTCGGTGGTTTCGTTTGCTCAGGCCGAAGAATCAAAACCCGCCACTACGTTCCTTGTCCAAATGGCCGATGCTGTGGAGCAGAATATCACCGATAAAAAAAAACGGCACGAAGAACGCTACCAACAGAAGCGTCAGCAGCAGGAATCCAAAAGCCGCTACAATGGAATAGTGAAGAAACGCAGATGGGAAGATCCTCCGACGGATCCGGAGGCAGTACGGAACTTTGATCCCGCGACGCGTGTTAAAAAGCGAAAGTGCGTCATTGTGATGGGCTATTCGGGAGTCAATTATTTTGGGATGCAGCGGAACCCGGGAACAAAAACCATCGAGGAGGAGCTACTGGTGGTCATGCTGAAACACGGCTGGATCAGCGAAGAAGCATTCAACCAGCCGCAGCAGATACAGTTTCAGCGAGCGGCTCGAACCGATAAGGGAGTCTCGGCAGCAACACAGGTGGTTTCGATAAAGTTGCCGGAAACTTTGGATATTGATGCGCTGAATAAGGATTTACCGGAACAGATCAAGGTGTTTGCTGTGAAGCGAGTGACCAAAGGGTTCAATTCGAAGTCGAATTGTGACGCACGAACGTACACTTACACGCTGCCGACGATATCATTTGCTTTGAACGAGGAGAAGGTGGACATCCAAAGCTATAGAGCTCCGGAAGAGCGACTGAAAGTGGTGAGTGAGACGTTGAAGCTGTTTGAGGGAACGAAAAACTTCCATAACTTTACGAGTCGTAAAGAATTTATCGATCCATCGTCTAAGCGTTTTATAATGTCTTTCGAGTGTGAGAAGCCTTTCATCCCGGAAGGGACAACGGTTGAATTCGCAACGATTAAGATCAAAGGTCAGAGTTTTATGTTGCACCAGATTCGTAAAATGGTTGGCCTGACGTTGGCCGTTGTGCGTGGATTGACGCCGTCGGAAACGATCGTGAAAGCTTTCGATGTGGTACGGTACGGTATTCCGACAGCACCCGGGTTGGGCTTGGTGCTAAACCGAATCCACTACGAAAAGTACAATGTACGTTACGGTGAGGATGGGTGCCACGAAGCGTTGGACTTCCAGAAGGAGGAGGAGCAGATTCAGGAGTTTTTTCGGAAGCACATTGCTGCCACTATTGTGGAGACTGAGCTGAAGACCCATTCGATGTTTGAATGGCTGGAGACGCTACCGTTGCACAGCTTCGACCCTAGGGATGAGAACGAATGCAAGGATGGGAAAGGTAAACAAAAAAGTAGCGATGAAAACGATGATGATGATGAGTAGGGTGATTTTATTTGAACTTGTTTGAAAAGTAGTTGGAGAAGTAATATATATTTTGCAGGAGTTGTGCTGCATTTATATGAACAATGCTGTGTAATAGGTCTAAAATGTATCCATGGTCCTTGAAGTAAGAAGTTCCTCACAAAGCAAACAACAGTTGGAAAAGTTCTCCAATTTAAATATAGAACCTTTATTCTTCCTTCGCTTCCAAACTGGCGACGGCCATCTGCAGAGCGCCTGCTCGCGTCTTATTCCCACCGATGAATCCCGACTGGTGGCAGAACGTAGCACCTTCTATTCCGGAGACCTTTTCCAGCTCTGTGTCGCGCACTCCACGCCACGGAGCGGCCAGGAACTTCCTACACACGAAGCTCGCCGACTGGAGAGGAACGCAAATTACACGCCAATCGTTTTCCTTGTTGAAGTAAATGACGTACTTCGGTACTCCGACCACATCGTACTGCTCCTCCAATTCAAACAAATGCTCCTTCCATGGACCAAAGTGTTCCAGCTCCAGGATTTCCCCGGAAGCGTGGACTTCCATCCGTTTCTTGACGGCATTCTGCACAAGCTCCCTAGCTGGCCACCACCTTTTCGCATAGTATAGAACCTTATCGACGAATTCCTGTCCAACGTATGCTTTAGCCTTCTCGAAGCGCTTCAACGAATCAGTGTCGTCGTCCGATTCCTCGTTCCAAGCCGGATTAAAATGACTCACGCGAGCACTTAGATGTGTATTGATGGAATACTTGGGCTCACCATCGAACATCGGAACTCCATTGTCGATGGCATCAATCTCCGCTATCAGAGTGTCGTACAGTTTCCGATAGACTGCGCGAACCAATTCTTCATTTGGATTTTCAACGGCATTCTTGCTCAGAATTTGACGAATGACCTCCTCTCCGAAATACGTGTAGATCAAACCAGCCGAACTCAATCTGTAAATTTAAAGAAAAAGCTGGAACTCATTCCGACCGGTTTGTCGCAGTCAAAAAATACAAACTCACCTAATCTCTCGCTTGACCTTCATCTCCGGTCTCAGCGAGTTCAGGGTGTCATTGAAACTGGCCTGATGATGATCGAATCGGTGCTTCTCGCGATCGAACACAGCCCCAACGTCCACCACTATGTCACACTGTGCCAGCACTTTTTCGTTTCTGGTCCTTGTTACCGAAGCATTGGCATACTGGGGCAGTTGCTGCAGCATGAAACACGCCAGCACTTCGTCACAGTGGAAGATACCGTCGTGCGTTCCGATCACCAGCGGGCGGCCGTCGTCTTCTTTGAAACGTTTCGAGTTCTGATCCTCGCTGGCCATTGTTGAAGTTGTTGATATCGGACGTTGAAAGCGGTGGCTTGGGTTGAGGTGTCTAGTTTTAGTGGAGAAACCCGTTAATCGAAGCAGATTGTGGGACGAACAGATGTTTGGTTGCAGTACAAATTTTGACAGCTGGCGAAGCATTTTGCTCGCGTGCTTTATTTTTTTTTTCTACTTTGACATTTCCCGCTTTATTGACGGCTAATAAGATCAACCCAAATTTGAGTTTAGTTTACTCATAATCGCAAAAAGTGCGGAACTCAGCGATGAGTAAATTTGCCTTATGTTTTCCTGTGGAAAACCTCAAAAATCTGCCGGAAAATGATGAAAATCTACGCAAATTTTACTCAGTCTATGAGTATTACCAAAAAGTCCATCCATGATAAACCAATTTCTCATATTCGGGAATATTTTCCTGGAAAAACATGAGGCAAATTTACTCATCGCTGAGTTTCTCGAGAGTTTCTGAACTTTTTCCTATACATGAGTAAACTTAACTCAAATTTGGGTTCCTCTCATTGGCCGTGTTTTCGCGCATTTTTGGGATTTTTATCGACGAGTGCACGGATGGATTTGAGTTCACTCACTCGACAAAAAGTGACACAACAGCGGGGCCCTGTTTACTTTAAATGAACACATGAATAATACTCACGTAACATTTGAAACGGGTCTATCGACTTTTGTACACAAAACTTGTTAACCCTTTTTCGCGCGAACCGAATACGCCCACGCAAACTAACAACACCATCGGGTAGAGGAAATTCTTCCCTTCCCGATAGTGCTCTTGGTTTGCGTGGGCGTACTTCGGTTCTCGTGAAAAGGACCTTGCAAATTATTTACGAAAGTTGATAGGCCCTTTTCAAATGTTACGCGAGCATTATTCATGTGTTCATTTTTAGTAAACAGGGCCCCGCTGTTGTGTCAAAAAAAATTCAGTAGATGAACTAAAGCTCACCCACACAAAAAAATATCGTTAATAGAATTGAAAAAAAAAACATTGTTAGAATTAAAAGTTATCATTGGTTCTTTTTGGTTGAAAGTACAGAGCTTTCAAAATAAAAAGCTGAAACTTGTGAAAATAAAAGTTTCCCTCATTGTTAATTTTAAAAGTTGCAGCTTTTAAATCAAATTGTAGAACCGTCAAAATAAAAACCAAGGTTTTTAAAATGACATATGAATTGTTTCACTTCAAAAGATGCCGTTTTCATAGTAGTAATATTTAGTTTTTATCATAAAATGAAATTATTTTCAAATTAAGAGTTCTTAAACTTAAAAATAAAGTATTGAATACTTTTACTCACTACTCATATTCTTATCATTTCTAATTATTATGTATATTCATCATATAAATCAATAAATAAAAATCACTATTTTATTCGCATGCCAATCATCGCTTCGTCAAATGCCATTTATGATATAAAGAAAGTGACAATTTGGCAAACGGAGCCTTTTCAACAAATTCCCAGCACCACTCCAGGGTATAGCGTAGTACATGTTCCGTGTGAATCTGGTTCCCTACTAGGGAAATTCAATTTTGAATCGATGATCGTTTGAAGTCCAAATTAGGCTTTTCCGGCGGAACAACCACAGCTGATACAGTGAGCTTACTCCATCAGTTCCGCCGGTGACGATGGGATGGAGGAAACTGTTTCGGGAAAATAGTGATGACCTTCAGTGGGAGTCTATATGAATGTCGAAAAACAATATAAATGTGAGTTAAATTGGTTTCCCAATAAAGAGATCCATTAAACCAACAATAACTTCAACGATTCATAAATTGACTTACTTTTAAAAATTGGTTGTCGGCAGCAGTCGGCTGACCAAATTTCCACTATCGGAAATGGCGGCAAATGAGAGTTCAGTGCTGCCAGTAAAAACGACCTCTAAAGATGTATTTTTGACAGTTGTACAACTTTACTTTCAAAATATGCACTTTGGGGCTGTTCATAAACTACGTAGACAGTTTAGGGGGGGGGGGGTTGACAATTATCCAAGGCCCATACAAATTTTAAAAATTTTGTATGGACAATTGTCCACGCAGGGGGACGGGGGGGTCAAGAATCCCAAAAAAAAATTCTACGTAGTTTATGAACAGCCCCTTTTAAATTTACAAGTCGGAAGTAAAAGAAAAAAAATGTTATGTTCAATATACTCGCAGTTGAAACTATGGATTTTGGTAAACTTTTAATTTGAAAATGCATTATATTTATTGATACAATTTTAGTTTTTTGTGTGCCCGTGTACAGGTCTATAGACGAGTGCACGGATGGATTTGAGTTCACTCACTCGACAAAAAGTGACACAATAGCGTTACCCTGTTTAATAAACATGAATAATACTCGCGTAACATTTGCAACGGGCCTATCCTTTTTTGTACACAAAACTTGTTAGGCCCTTTTCGCGAGAACCGAATACGCCTACGCAAACTAACAACCCCATCGGCAAAGATATCTAATTAACAAGATATCCCACTAATCAATTTTTCATACAAGACATATAATGACTACCCTTATGTGATCGCAGTGCCATCTGTTGAGTGCACATTGAAACTGTTGGGAGTTTCCCGCCAACTTCACCACCAGGGCTCAATAACTGACAGGTGTCAGCATGACAGATGTCAACGCGGACGAGAAAAGAGGACGATATCATCCTCGTCTCCCTTAGCTCAGTCGGTAAAGTCGCAGCTACAAAGCAAGACCATGCTGGAGGTGGCTGGGTTCGATTCCCGGTCCGGTCTAGGAATTTTTCGGGTTGGAAAATTTCTCGACTTCCCTGGGCATAGAAGTATGATTGGACTTGCCACACAATTATACAAATGCAAAAATGGTACAGGCATCGAAAGCTCTCAATTAATAACTGTGGAAGTGCATCTAGAACACTAAGTTGAGAGCACGCAATAAGCTAATATGCGATATGCAATAAGCTTGAAATGCGAAGAAGAAGAAGATCATCCTCGAAGTCATCATCATTATATTGCGATAGCCAGATTCTTACTTGTTTGTGATTGCTCCGATTGTCAATCATTACCACTTTATACGCAACAGAAACACTTGAGAAAACAATCACACATCCAAGCGCGCATCATGCTTGTAACACAGACAAACAGACATAACACTCGCAAATTGTTCATCGAACAAGCATTTAACGGTCAATTTAAAAGTATAGTAGTTGGTAGTACCGCCACCTGTGGCGCGCATAGTCATTTCCCTTGGGTTTGACGTTTACACACTACCGCCATCTGTTCAGCGTACTACCAACAATCAATACGAAACTAACGATTTTAAATTGGCTCACAACTTTAGTAGCCTATTGGTCCCAAGCAAACGATTTACGTACCCTATTCTAGTTGAAATTCTATTACTATTACTATTATTAGATAACATCAGGGGTGTGTGGATTCATGCAGAACATGCAGGGGTGAGTGAAATAGCTTGGGACTGCTTGGGATCGTTGTTCTGGTACTGAGTGAGCCAAAAATAAAAATGATTTTCTTCGGGACCCAGTGGTCTTAGAGTTACCTCTATGGTACTACCCACCACAGTGTACTCAACAGATGGCGGTAATGTTTTAGCGACGATGTTTTTCAGTGAGACATATTCAATGTGTTATGTCTGTTTGTCTGTGCTTGTAATATGTTTTGCTTTCGAGCGAAAGAGTTTCCAATATACCACCGGTATCAGTAAGATGCAAATCTCTAATAGTAAAGGGTGATACGGTCAAAATTTGGTCAAGGGAAAACGCGTGTAAATCGGTGAAATCGTTTATTTAAAAAATCAAATTAAATTTCTTTTTCAAGTTCAATTAGTATAAAATTCAGGAAAAATATTCAGTTAGGCTTCCGCTTTTCCAAATCCGAATTGCCGGGCCTTACGCTTGACCCCTGCCATCAGATTTTGTACAGCCACCTTGTCCACCTTCTTCGCCGCAGAAAACCAGTTTGCCTTGAACTGCTGCTCGCCCTTAGCAGTTTTTTTGGTCTTCTTTAGGTTCCGCTTGACAATAGCCCAGTATTTCTCAATTGGGCGGAGCTCTGGCGTGTTGGGAGGGTTCTTGTCCTTGGGAACCACCTGCACGTTGTTGGCGGCGTACCACTCCATGGCCTTTTTACCGTAATGGCAAGATGCCAAATCCGGCCAAAACAGTACGGAACAACCGTGTTTCTTCAGGAAAGGCAGCAGACGTTTATTCAAACACTCTTTCACGTAAATTTCTTGGTTGACAGTCCCGGAAGCTATGAAAATGCTGCTTTTCAAGCCACAGGTACAGATGGCTTGCCAAACCAGATATTTCTTTGCGAACTTTGACAGTTTCATGTGCTTGAAAACATCTGCTACCTTTCCCCTTCCTTTTGCCGTATAAAACTCCTGTCCCGGAAGCTGCTTGTAGTCGGCTTTGACGTAGGTTTCGTCGTCCATTACCACGCAGTCAAACTTCGTCAGCATCGTCGTGTACAGCCTCCGGGATCGCGCTTTGGCCGTCGTATTTTGTTTATCATCGCGATTTGGAGTCACTACCTTCTTGTAAGTCGATAGTCCGGCTCGTTTTTTGGCTCGATGCACGGTTGTAGACGATACACCCAGCTTATTTGCGGCATCTCGGAGAGAGAGGTTAGGGTTTCGCTTGAAACTACCGGCAACTCTCTTTGTCGTCTCAGCGGCTTCCGGTTTTCGATTTCCCCCCGATCCAGACTTCCTGGCTGTCGACAAACGTTCCCCAAACACTTTAATTACATTTGTAACGGTTGATTTGGCAACTTTTAGCGATTTTGCCAACTTTGCGTGCGAGTAGCTCGGATTTTCGCGATGCGCGAGCAAAGTTTTGATACGCTGCTCTTCTTGCTTGGACGGCATTTTGACAACTGAAGAGTGAATTCCAAAATCAAAATAGGAGCAACATTCTACACACACACACCTGCAAAATGAGGGGTGTTCAGGTTTTTTAAATGCAAAATTGAAAGAAATACGTCAAGTTGATATTGACCAAATTTTGACCGTATCACCCTTTAATTGGTGATTTGCGGAGCTGGTGCTCAAAATAATCTTAATAAGCATAGAAGTAAACATGGGAAAAATATTCACTCTCTCTAAAGGATTATTCCAACGCCCCAGCCACTGGAAATGCAACGTATCGAAATCATTGCTAAACGTAATAAAATGTGCCGTCTTCTTTGGCCAATGCAGCACGCATTCTATTCAGAAAATTACGTTGGAATAATCATTACTTTCCTATTTTATAACGTAGGAAGTATTTGTCAACGCCGGTGAAAGCAAACGCAAACGGAAGTAGCCGAAGCTGAATGATGACGATGAGTGATGACACCGCTTCGTGTTTTGATTTGCGCTGTACTGTCCGCTCAGTTGTGTGGGTTCGTATACATGTTTAGATGTTTTGGCGCTGTTATCTGTCTCTTTAAATTCCAAAGAGTGAAGGGGGTCAGTAAATTTTGGCAGACAGCGAAGAAAATTTACAGAACAGATTGTAAATTAAAAAATTACCGAATGGATTACCGAATGTTCAGCTGTTCCATATTCGGTAAAAAATTACAGTATACTGTATAAAAATCTTAGTGTGTACTGTAAAAAAATCTTAGTGTGATACACACTAAGATTTTTTTACAGTATACTGTAATTTTTTACTGAATATGGAACAGCTGAACATTCGGTAATCCATTCGGTAATTTTTTAATTTACAATCCGTTCTGTAAATTTTCTTCGCTTGTGGCCTGTCAAAATTTACTGACCTAGACTGTAAATTTTACTGAAAGATTGGTAAAGTTTACCATAGCGTTCAGTATAATTTTTACCGAATCGACTCTACTTTATTTTCAAAATAAATAATAAACATTGTAATTTTCATTGATTGATTAACTTTTTCTTTCTTTCATCAAACCAAAAGATTCATTCCTTTTAACCATATATTTTTTTTATTTTATACACGGCGTTGCTCCCGCTAGTGTGCGTTCGTTAAACGTCACTAATCTCTATAATACAATTTAATGCACACTAGCGTATACTGTCATGTTCACGGTAAGAACCCAACATCCATTTATTAGTAAAGGTGAACCCATTGTCAATAAAAGTGGCACTACTAATTAATGAGTAATTTATTATGCCCATTAAGTAGTAACTGTTAGCTACCCGCATAAACGCGAACCATAAATTGACCTTACCTAAAAAGGTTAAAAATTGTTTATAATCCCTGCTAAACTTTAACTGAAATGGTTATGGAACTTTACATGAACGTTTAATGATAAAGTTTCAACCTTATGTATTATGGTTTTTTGGAACTGGACCTTACAAATAATGGGTTGTTAAGAACCATTACCATTCCAAATTCTTGTTTTCTCCATACATTTTCAGAAAGAGAACTATATAAGAACGTTTTTACTTATGATTTGAGAACATTAATGGTAATGGTTATGGTAGTCAGTAAGGTCCATTAATGGTTTTGTATTATCGCTCAACTTTACGTGGAATATATCGTGAATTGGTAATCAGTAAATTACAGGCAACCAATTCACGATATATTCCACATAAAGTTGATCGATGTTACAAAACCATTCGTGGACCTTACTGACTACCATAACCATTACCATTAAAGTTCTCAAACCATAAGTTAAAAGGTTCTAATATAGTTCTCTTTCTGAAAATGTATGGAGAAAACAAGAATTTGGAACGGTAATGGTTCTTAACAACCCATTATTTGTAAGGTCCAGTTCCAAAAAACCATAATACATAAGGTTGAAACTTTATCATTAAACGTTCATGTAAAGTTCCATAACCATTTCAGTTAAAGTTTAGCAGGGATTATAAACAATTTTTAACCTTTTTAGGTAAGGTCAATTTATGGTTCGCGTTTATGCGGGTACTGTTAGCAGAAACTCATTGTTGTTAACTTTTACTCATAAAAGGGTATTTGACTGTTACCGTGCAAGCGTAGGGGTTGTTTTCGTTTTGTTGTTTATTTTTACTTTAGAATGACAGTTATTACAGCAAACAAAAAATTTCTCACAGCTAACAAAAAATTTCATCTCACTAACACACGCAAATTGTACCAATACGAATCCGCCTGGAGAGGGCTATTGAGTTCTCCAAGCAGGATCTCACGAACACTACACTAATAACATAATTTTACACACACTAGCGTACACAGAAAAACAAAACTACCCACCGCTTGGGTTTTTTAAACTCAAATTTGAGTTATTTGACCTCTGTCCGTTTCATTTCCTCTCGCTATTGTTGTCAAAAATAGAACGAAAGATTCGACTCAACCGTCTAGTTCCGTACAAGAAGCCAAAATTGAGTAATATGCGATATACCCAAATTTGAGTTAATTGAACTTAATTTTGGGTAGAAAAAATTGAAAATAACTTAGCGATGGGTAATTTTTTTTGCCGTGCTTAAATGCAAACTACTTTGAGCCGGTTTACCCAAATTTGGCTTATCGTACGGAACATGGGAGATGAGTGAAAAGAACTTAATTTTGGGTTGTTTTGAATTTCTGTGTATACTGTCATGTGCACGGTAAGAATCAAACATCCATTTATGAGTAACAGTGAACCCATTGTCAATAAAAGCGGCACCATTAATTAATGAGTAATTCATTATGCCAATTAAGTAGTAACTGTTAGCTACTGTTAGCAGAAACTCATTGTTGTTAAAATAATTTACTCATTAATGAGTAAAGCCACCTTTATCAAAAATGGGTTAACCTTTACTCAAAAAAGGGTACTTCACTGTTAGCGTGCAAGCGTAGGGTTTATTTTCGTTTTGTTGTTTATTTTTGCTTTAGAATGACAGTTCTTACAGCAAACAAAAAATTTCTCTCAGCTAACAAAAAATTTCATCTCACTAACACACGCAAATCGCACCAATACGAACCCGCCTGGAGAGGGCTATGGCTGAATCATGAATTTGACACATTAGAACACCTATATGTAGCCACCTTGATCAAAACTAAAGAGGCTGAATTTAGCTCTCTAATCAAAACATTGATCCTTGAAGCTCAACAAACTCTTTAAATCGAAATCGTACTTTTTCATGTTGAAAACGTCTGCTCAATGACTTTAGTCATAAAACGATAGGTATGGCTCATTTAATCAAACAAGATCAAGACAAACATCTGAAATTCGTTCTTGACCAGCCGGAAGAGGGTAAGTGCTACTTTAAATACAGACGATTGTTTGTTGATAGATAATACAAGCAACCCTTCCAGTTCTTATCGAGTTCTGCAAATTGGCCATCGAATACATCAACAATGGAGTCAACGAGAAAAAGTGCTCAGTCGCTGCCAGTAAGTTGAAAAGACCGCTCATCTGCAGTTGATATTTGAACTGTGTATCCTTTTTCCGGCGCAGGAAAACTCGAAACAACCTTCGAAAGCGTCAAAGGCTGCGTTGATGCACTCGTTTGCCTCCTAATCGATTCCACCAAGCTGCATACTACCGAAGAGGATTTCCAATCGCTTCGAAACCTCCAATTTACTGATGGCCAAATTGCAATTCTGTGGCAATTTGTCAACAGTAAACGGAACCTGGTGGAAAACATCCTCAAACATTCCAACGATAGTGAATTGCATTTCCGTGATCTGGAGTGGCGCCTAGAAGCAAAAGTTGCCTCCAGATCCATGCACAAACAGGCAGCACCGGTAATAGCGATGAAGTTGCATCTGGACAGCGAAGTTGTCAACGAACATAAGGAAAAGCTTCAACGAAACGGTGATGCACCGGAGGAGGAATTTACTGAGCCAAGCACCCGGAAGGAAGTGCTACTGCAAACCGATCCGACAAGCCTAATCCATTTGATTCAAGTTCTCGAGCAAGCTTTGATAGACTCCAAAACTCACCGAGTTAGAAACTTTGTCAAATCATTCCAGAAATAAACGCAAAGTTGTTTCCCTAATATCATTGTATTATTTCAACAAACTGCTAGCATTTAATGGTGTCCTCATCGAAATATTTGTTGTACTTTTTCCACTGGTATCGCTTCTTTGGATCCTTCTTGCTCCAGGATGGGTTAATGTTTGGCATAAGACCTGCTTTCTGTGCCATGATCACCAGTGCGCCCATTCGTCGCTGCTGGCGCTTACATAATCCGGTTACCCGGCGTGGCAGCATACATCCATCGTTGCGGACAAACTGGCTTAGAATCAGCACGTCCGTATGCTTGACATCCAATCCCAGACTGCACTGGGGACAAAACTGCAACCCGCTACCGCACTTGGTTTCGATCACCTGCGGAAGCATCTGATTTGATCTCGGCGAAGCAACATAATCGGCACTAACGACAAGCGCATCCTTTTGGGTTACCTCTTTGACTGGGGACATTTTAGCAGATTAGTTTACTACTTTGAGATTACACTGTAAATTAAGCACTTACTTTCTTTTAGATTGTTTGCGGCTGAAACGCTAAATGGTCGCAAATTACTGCACAGAATTGTATTTATTCTGGAAATTCCTGATTTTGCTGCACTGAACAGAGCCATTTTTGCGGAGGATTTGGTGTGTTCTTTGTTTTGATTAATATTTTTCTGACAGAACGTGAAATTTAGCTTTTAGTACAAAATCGAGGGGCTCTTAAGTACAGCATATGCAGCGATGATCGATTCTCTTCGTCAATTTTCTCTTTACCCGAAAAAATAACAACAAAAATACATTAAAAAACAATGTAACAATAAGACGAAAATTATTGTCTTAACAATGATTTAAATTGTTACGTCTACAATAAATTTACCTTGATTTATGTTGTACAAAACAATAAATTTCATGGTAAATGGAAAATTTACAATAAAAAAGGGGGGTTGTTAAGTATCTTAACAATGAAATTTTCGTGATTTTCCCATATATTATTGTTATTTTACTGTTGGTTGGCGAATTTATTGATTAAAAAAAATAACAGTGTACTTTAGAGTGTATGTGTTGGCTTGACAGATCTACTTTATCGACTTTAAAAATAAATCGAAAAAATAAAACATTGCCCCGGGAAGGGAAGGGGGTGGTATGTCTGTTTACGGGTGGTCCTTTTTTTACTGGTTATGGATCGAGATTCGATCAGGAACTTGTGAGAAATGCAGGCCAACTCCCCTGCGCTCGATATCCCTAGGTCACGTCTCCTTGGTGGTTGAGCGTCGTTGATAAGTTAATGCATTCGACTGGAGAGAATCGCCCATGAAATATGCTTCCACCTGAGAGTTCTTTCCTGACATCTTCAAGTGGTGGAATTTTTTATTATTATTGTATGATTATTGACTGCACGGAAAAGGTCTCCATGAGCTTTAGAGAGGGTCTAGGATAAGATATGAGCGGACGCGGACTGCCTGGTTTTGAGCCAAACGAACTGTCAAAGCCAGAGCCATACGAGCAGCGCCTATCTTAATTACATTGGCAGTGTTGCTGACCCTCTCATAGTCTGCATGCTTCAATCAGATTTATTTTTATTGTTCGTGAAGTAACCCACAATGAAAATACACCAATATTTAATGTAACAACAATTTTTATTGTAATAGAGTTGTTCATTATTGTTCATGATCGAATCATGTTAACAGTAAAATAAATGAAAAATACGATAAAAAACATTGTAACAACATTTTATTATGTACATTCATTGTACAGCTAGGTAGCAGTTTTGCCGTTTTCGGAAGAGTACAACATTATAACAATCATTTTTATTGTCGACAATAAATATTAATGTTAGAGCATTGTTTCCACTGAAAATTTCACTGTATTTTTTTTTCGGGTAGTTAATTAATGAATCTACGTTACGGTCGGCCAGCAGATGGAAATGATGTGAAAATGATAATGACGTTTTGCTAGCTGTCAAATCGTATGGAATATTTTTTAGTACATCATCACTTTTGTGGTTTTGGACTTCAAACCTAGGTGTCGCATGCACTGGTGCAGTTTCGCGTAGATTCATCAATAACTCGCTATAATTCGACAGTGAGCATGCATAAGAGCGTATACGGTGTTTCGCGAAAACCCATTAATGGGTATAAAAATACCCATTTCCGCTAAAAGTGCCCCTCCTCATTTAATGGGTAAACTATGGTTTACTCATAAATGGGTAAATGGGTGGTCTGTCAATAAATGGGTGTTTTTTCACCCATTTTCTTATATTGTGTTTACCGTAAAATGGGTGAAAAAATACCCATTTTTACAAAAGGAGGATGCAAGCGATCGTTGATGTAAAAATGTTTTTAAAACATTGAAAATAAATGCAGGTGCTCCGCTCAAATTTTTCACGAAACATTATAATACAAATTATCCATTGTATTGACTTATCCGTAAGCCTCTCCAACGTTTTGGATTCTAACATTTTCCGGAGATCGTTGCTGCGGACAGTAACTGTTTGCATCGAGGTTTGCATTCCCAATGAGCCGGTGACGGAAATGAGACGATAAAATTTCGAAGTGTTTTTTCACCCATTAATGGGTAAAAAATATACCCATTATTCAACCGTGAACTGATTCTTCAAATGGGTATTTTTTCACCCATTTTATGATTTCAAAATTCCCCCATTTTTTGACAGCTGCATACATGGTTTGAAAATGGGTATTTTTTTACCCATTAATGGGTTTTCACGAAACACCGTGTATACGCGATGATCGATTATCTTCATCGATTTTCTCTTTGTATTGCTACAGCTAAGCGAAACAATTTTCTATAATTTGTTCAATGCAGAGTTGTAACAACAGTTGTAACAGGTATTATTGGCTATCAAAAGCAACAGCAAGCGCACCGAGAAACGTTAATTATAGCGAGTTATTAACAAAAGAAAAAATCTACGAAGAGAATCGATCATCGAGTTAACGCCCTTATGCATGCTCACTAGAGTGATGCAAAATTTGAAATTTTCGCTCCACAATACTTAAACGATTCAAAATCGGATCCTGACTAACCTCTCAAAATTTGAACCCATTTGGTGAGAAACTGAGATGGCACAAACCGTTTGAAGTTTGTATGGGAATTACTATGGTAAAACCAAGATTTTTGTTCATGTCTATCTAATAATTCACCATATTATCGGTCTGCCTCAAAAGTTTTCAACTATACACGCAGAAAAATTTATTATTGAAACAAAAATATTTGAGGTAAATTTAAACATAAACTCAGTTTGTTCTGGCCACAAAAATAAACAATGTTTATTTCAAACGTATTCTATGTTTGAAGTCATGTAATATTAATGTTTAAAATTAAAATAATGTTACGTTTATTTTAAAAATATAAACGTGAATATTTTTGTTTGGTTTGACAACAATGCCAACAAAAATAAATATGTTTATTTTAAACATGCTTCTTATGTTTGAAAGAAACTTACTTAAGATACCGTGCCAGCACCATATTTGATGCGTCCCTAATGATGACGCACTCGTCTTATTTTTATCGCATCTCGATTTTGAAAAGATGTTTTTTTAAACTTTGTTACACCATCATCCCTAAAGCACAGGAACTAATATTTGCAGAAGTAACATTTCAAAAATAATGATTGAAAATAGTCGAACATTATTGAGTACGTCGATTTAGGAACCGCTTCGAATATGGTAAGCAGAAGAATGGATTGCCAAGAGATGAAAAAAAATACGATCTGCAGGAAGATCCCGAATTCAGTTTGATTGCAATGTAGGATTGGAAATGCAGGAATCGGAAGAAGATGAGGATGAGGAGAAACCGTTGAGTTCGGTAAGGAAGGAGGATGAATACAGCACTGATTTTAGTCGAGATTTTAGTAAGAAGTTGATCCAACAAATTCATCAGTCGAGTCAGGATTGTGTGAATATGATAAAGCTTGCTGAAGTTTCGAAGCGGAAGAAGTTGGAGCAATTACGGAAAGAGCAAGAACACAAGGCAGGTGCAAATGAGGAGGATGTTTCGGATCTGCTTATGGCAGGAGAGAAGATCATAGACAAAAGCTCGAAGCAAACAGGAAGAAATGAGGAGAGGCTAGAGGATCCGGAATAGATTCAACATCCATTTCGGATTTTCGTTTTCCTTTGTTAAGACACTTACCTAGGTGGGTTTCCGCATCCATGACTTCGGTTTTGTTGCGGGCCGTTTTCAGTTTATTAACAAAGCTGAATGTAAACAAGAAGGAAAAAATGCAGGGCACGCTAAAAATCGTTTACCCAAATTCTATATTTTTGAAATAAACATGCTTTTGACTTTAATTCAAACTTATATATTTTTGTTGCAAACATGTTTTTAATTTATTTTCAATTATTCATATGTTTGTAGAATGAACATTTTTATTTTTGATTTAAATGAACAAAACTCGGTTCCGTGTACTTGTAGGAAATTTTCCCAGCTACAGCTTTGCTGAAGACAACTTTTTGATTAAATGCAAGGATCGAAAGTTATTAATGGTTCAATGCACTGATGTCTTATGATCATGCTCAATCAACCTCGCAATCAACTGCTCAGCAGGCAACATTGGTGTTTCTGGGGCGTTGAATAGGACACAAAAATCATGGCTACTATGTCACACACTGCAAAATACAGTGTTCCCTACAGAGCAGCTGCTTGATCATGTCATAAGTTTACCAATCTCTTAAATAATTAATAACTTTTTCCTGTCTCGTTTTACATAGAAACGATCTTCAGCAAAGTTGTAAGAATGGCTATCGAACTGTTTCGCAGCTCAATATGGAAAAAGACTAGAAGGTAATGAACAAAAAGTTGAGATTTCTCATAGTAATTTACATGTAAACTTCAAATGGCTTGTGCGAAGTCTGTTTCTAACTGGGAGGCTTGTAACTTTGGGAGGCTAATCAGGACCGGATTTGAAACCATTTAAGTACTGTGGAGCGAAAAAATCAAATTTTGCATCAGTGCTCACTGTCGAATTAACATTTCTCGGTGCGTTTGCTGTTGCTTTTGATAGCCATTATAACCTGTTCCAAACTGCATTGAACAAATTCAAGAAAATTGTTTCGCTTAGCTGTAGCAATGCAAAGAAAAAATCGATGAAGAGAATCGATCATCGCATATACGCCCTTATGCATGCTCACTGTCGACTTATGGTTTCATGTGTTAATGTTCCGATTTGGGTTGTTTAGGGGTATATACTAAAGCCCTCTAGTTAAAGTATGGCCGACTGTCATCACAAAACTGAAAAAAGCTGTTCCAATCGAGCAATGCGGTGCATTTTGACGGTTCGATTGAATCAACTTTTGACAGACGTCCACACTTTTACTGTAGGGCTTTAGTATAAGCCTGATACGCAGCTGAAAAGGAAGCGGAAAAGTAATTTTTGAGTATTGTGTGTGTGTGTGTGTGTATTCAATCTAACCCCCACTGGCCGGCAGTGGTATTATGGAAGAAATTTGCTTACAACAATCCTTGATGTTATAATTTGAAGCAAGTTTAATCCGGGAGTTAGAAAGCGATAGCTCTACTGCAGATTCAGCAACCCATTTCAGAATGCCTGGTAATTCACGTCCATTCCGAGGTTACTTTCACATACAATAAGCCCCGCATGTAAACACTACCGTTATCATATGAATAATGGTACTGTTAACACACTTCCAGATTTCAAAATGTGATGTTTCGAAATCTGGCGCGTATTTAGTAATATATGGATTTATGATTGATTATAAATCAGATGGATCTCACCAAATTCTGCCTCCATAAAAGGACCGGTTTGTTTACTCGCGATAATCTAAAAAATCTTCCGCGTTGTTTTTACAACCCAACACGACATTTTGAATCACATTCGAAATTTTTCATTTGCACCGAATTTTTGCTTGACACCTCATTCGCGTGCATCCTCCGGAAGGCAGAACGCCAGCACCAAGAAAAAAAAATACCCGGTAAAACTCTTCTTGGGAGGGAGGCAAAGCACCAAAAACAAACGAAATGAAAAACCAACCGACGCGACACCACAGCCACACAGCTACTCGAAACAAATTCTTGTCCCAGATTTTTCACGTTAATTACAATATCACTAAAAAAAAACTTTTTAAGACGTGATAGATCTTAATTTACACTTATCCACACGCGAAAACTAATATTTGTTTGATTTGGTACAATTAAAAAAATATGCGAAAAACAGATGAAATCTGCGCCAGCGAAAACAAAACCAACCGTTCGCGGGCAGAGCCTACTGCGTTTTTTTGTAATTTTTGAGTATTATTCCCAAAAGAAAATTTGACAGCTATAGGGACGTGTCTTTTGTTAAATTTTGAGATCATAGTGAGGTGTCGAACGATGTGCAACCAAGTGGTACTCGATTATGACGACTGGGTTTGGGAAAAACGTTTATATCATCACTAATAGAATTCCACACATTTTTATTGACGAATTTCCATGTAAAATTCCACATGATTTTTATGTGGCCACTCATAAACGAATGCACCCCAGAAGCACACAAGAAATTTATGAGTCAAATGAATAGTATGTGTGGTTACACATGGCTTTTATGTGTACACATATTAAGTATGTGCCCGACACATAGATATCATTTGTTGACCACATTGCAAAAATTCATGTGTGGGACTCATAAAAACAATCTTTGAATTTTTATCAGTGCACTATATGACATTTTGCCATACACGAATACCATTTTACGATCATTTCCACACCTGTATATATATTCATTGATAAGGATTCCCCTCTGTATTTTATTTCGGTTTTTAGTACAAACATCATCGAACATCGAAATAATACGCTGTAAACAAACAACGAATTGTCAAACAAAGCGACTTGCACATTTTTGTTTTCCAAACATTCTTGGCACCGGCTGTTCGTGTACAGTGATTCGAGTTTTTTTTTTAATATTATAAAACCAATTTTCCGTAATTTTAACGGTTAAAAATGAGTCTTAACTTCGGAGAAATCGTGGAACCTTCGACCCGAGCCTTTTGGGACGATTACGACGAAGGTGAAGAAGATCAAGAACCGCTGCAGCCGTGAGTTTGAAAAAAAAAATTTCCATAGATGCTTGATAAAAAAAAAATTGATTTTAGTCTGGAATGGGAATGGTTGAACGAGGACAATGTTGAGCAAAAGTTGGACAACGTAAAACTACTGCTCATCCTCGAAGGCCAAGGTATTTCTGCCTTTGCAGGCGTCGCTGTGCTGAAGGGCAAGTCTCCCATCTGCCAGTTAAACAGTGGAACAACTAGTATCTACAGTGTGCCGGACAAGGGTCTTCTGGTATGCGTAACGGAGGAAAAGGATCTGAACAGTTTCGGTAGGATAACGGACAAGCTTGCTTCGTGGTTGGAGATGGCCGAAGAGGTGGTGGGCGTTTCGTTTCAGCCATCTGTCATGCACAAGGGAACATCTGCAGATGAGACGGAGGAAGTTTGCTTCATCAGGAGCATCAACGGACGGTTGAGCCAATTCAAGGCACTCGAAGCGCCTAACGTCATTACAGGGTTATGTGGCGGTGCTTTGAGCTACAGGAAATTCAAGGACCAGACGGCTTCGGCCTATGCGTGCTATCTGGATTCCTGTGTGTTGGATTCGGTTTCGGCGAAACCGATTCTTCGATTGCTGAAATCGTTGTCAGTGGATTGTGACGATTCCTATCAGTTGAAATTCAAGACCAGTTCGAATTTGTATCTGTGAATAAAATGGCGTGCGGTTGTTCTTAAAATCCTATCGGGTTTATTTTCTCAAAGCATAATATCTTCTCCCTGGGCAATGGTTTAACAATTAAAAAGATTTTCAACTGATTCAGATCTGATTACCACAGAGAAGAAGACTGCCTTGGAGTTCTTTTTTTTTGTCCATGCTCAAACAAGAGCATCCAAACCGTTATAATTTGTAATCTCCAGCACCACTTTCCATGTCTGTCTATGCGTGGTTGAAAAGTTGGTAAGATTTATGTTGAATTCCAGCAAACCGCCACGAGTCTTTTAAGCCATATAGATGAATGTGTTGATGTCGTCGTCGTCCCGCCGCATGTACTTGTGCTCTATCAGCCACTCGAGCTGTTCCTTGATCATTTTCTTCGACGGCAGGAACATGTTCTTCAGGATATCCACCAATTCGGCCTGGAGCGATGAAGAAAATTGATTAGATTTAGATGTGTTGTTAGAATTTACTGATAATAGTAATCATACCTGTAGTGCAGCATTGCTCAGTCGTTTTCGCATCTTCATGATCTTGATGATGGCTTCCTGGGTGCGTAGTATCCGTAGCTGTACGATAGACTGATTGTCCTCTTGCTGGGACCGTTCGGTGCTCAATTGTAACCGCCCGACCAGATTGACCTTACCTCGTCGTTGTGGTTTGCCGTTCTTGATGAGAGCAAACTCCTGATTGACCCAAAACAGGGTATTTTCAGCGAAATCTTTTGGATTTGCTACCACCGGGTCATACGACAGTAGCTGACGCTTTAGCTTGGGAAAAGCTACTAAAGACCACAGCGTTCGACGTAGTTCCGGATCGGGAAGTTCCGTCGCCAAGCGAAGATTTTCGTAGGAGACTTTCTCGTTCGGACGCTGGTTCCAGGCGAACAACACCGCCATTTGGAAGGTAGTTACGTCAAGATCGAACCGCCCGGAGTTGTTTGCAAAGGTAATCGTTCCGTTGCTCATGTGATGGTACCATAGCAGCTTTCGACCGGAATGTTTCTTCTTGTAGAATTCTTCCACCTCGGGGATGTAGTCTTCGAGCTCTAGCGGAAGGCTGACAGACACACGCTCGGAACCGCGGGCCCAAGCTCCGGCGTTCAGGATCTTAATGTTGATGGCATCGTGTCGGGTCGTTTGCGACCTGAATTGAGTGTTTAAATCCTCACTAACCTGTTGTAATCAAGGAATGATACATTGACTATTCATCGGCTTATTGGATATCACCTTACCTTTATATCCTGGAACATCCTAGCTAGCTTATTGACGTAGTCAGCTGGCATACCGACCTCCCGTAACCACTCGACCATATCCTCTTCCTTTTCGCTGTCAGCACTGGAATCGAGAATCAGTCTAGCCAAAACAAAAGAAGAGAACCCAATTAGTAAAATCACGATTGACGAACGGAAACCCAAACAAACAACTACCAACCTCCTGGTGAGATGCGCCTTATGGTACCGCATGAAGACATCCTTATTGCTTACGTATTTGAGCACCAGCAAAACGTCCTTGAGACGCGATTCGATCTCCTCCGTGGTGAGCCGCTTGCTGAAGGGTGTCCGTCGTAGCAGCATATCACAGTAGTTGGCCAACAATTCCGGACACTTGGACTCGGGCGTCGCCGACTTGATTCCACGGGCCATCGCCGTGGCCGACGTTGGCAGTTCCAGCTTGAATACCGTCGTGTCGTTGACTACCGTTTTGAAGGCCTTGTCACGTGCCGTCAGAAAACGTGGATCATCGTTGAAGGCTTCCTTCACCAGATTACTAAACCGGCGGAACAATTCCAGCAGTCTTTCTACGTATTTTTCCGAGTCTTGCGTGATGACATCCGCTGCGGCAACCATATCAGCTAGGCCAGCCTGGACAATATGATTTTCCAAATCACGAAGCATCGGATCGACTCCACCGGCTACGCGATCCAGCAAGCGGAACATCAGTTGCAATCGGTCTGTTTCGCGGCCTTCTATTAAGGGAGGACACTCCGCTAATAGGGTTGGTAAATGATCGCCAATTAACACCGTAACGCAGCACTGAGCCAGGGCGGTTATGCTTCCCGGTTCCAGGTATCGCTCGGCACGTGCCTCCTCCTCCCGTAGCTTTGCATCTGCATATTCCATGAAGCTTTTAACACCATCCGCCTGCAGCTGCTCGCTGGCTTTCAAGCGGTAAAATGCGGACGTAGCCTGAAGATATGCCGCCTCGAAGTTCTCCCGATAGATTTCCAGCTTATCTTCGGTGTTGGAACAAAGATTAACGTAACTTTCGCGAACTCCAATCACCAGCTGCGAATCGAATGCTTCGCCGTTCCGCTCTGCATGGACCAGCTTCATGGCCGAATCCTGTAATCGGTGCTTGATATTCATGAAAATGCTCTGATTCCATAGGTCCAGCATCAGCTTCCGCACGATGCTGTCGTCCGAGTGGTTGGACTTTTTGGAGGAACTGCTACTCGAGTTGTGCCCGGAGGATTGGCTTTTACCCTGAAAGACAAAAAGAAATCGACGGATTTATGATCAATGCATATATAGGGGCTGTCCTGAAACCACGTGGACTGTCTGGAGAGGGGGATAGGCGAGTGTCTACGATCCAAATACATACATAAACCCCTACCCTTTTCTGCGAGTCGTGTGACTCTCTGTCACTAATGAGATTTATTTTATTTTATTTTTAAATCTGCAAAATTCAGAGTGGTAGGTATTTACATCTTACCGTTTTATACCTCGTTCACATTACAGCATATATCACGTAATATAGGCTGTCTTGCAATGAGCACTCGTACATAGAATTTCCTGTGAAAACTAGATGTATGAGTGCTCATTGGAAGACAGCGTATATCACGTGATATACGTTGTAATGTGAACGGGGTATTAGCCTTATACCACAGACAAGCAGACATACCACTTACAAGTTGTTCATCACACAAGCATTTAACGGTCAATTTAAAAGTATCGTAGTTGGTAGTACCAACAATCAATACGAAACTAACGATTTTAAATTGGCTCACTACTTGACTAGCCTATTGGTCCCAAGCAAACGATTAAGGTATCCCATTCTAGTCGAAATTCTAGTACTACGCAATGTTTGTTTTGATTCGCTATGAAAGTTTGACAGATAAAATGAGGGGTTATTGGTTTTTCCTATGTTTCGAGGGGTGAATCGATTAGCTTGGGACCGAAGAGAGTACCAGAGCTGAGCCAAAAAGTTGAGCACGTTATTTCGGGACCTTCTAGCCTTAGAGTTACCTCTATGGTAGTAGTGTTGCCATGTGGTACAATCCAGTAGTAGTGGTGTTTCCATGTGGTACACTGAAAAATTGCAATAGCAGGTTAGTCACCAAAGTTTTCGAGCCGCTCCGTCTGTCACTTCGTTTGTGCTATTAGCATAGAGGTAACTCTAAGAGCAGCAGGTCCCGAAAAAACTTGTTCAACTTTTTGGCATAGCTCTGGTGTTGGTTGGAAATGCTAACATGAAGCTTTAGTGTGATGATTTATTAGCTAGAGAATGATCTTTAGAAGAATGTAGGTGGATAGTTCCGTTAGAGTACGGCAGTATGAAAATTGAATAGAAGTTGAAAATGAGCGAAGGGCCATTAAAGCGACAGTTTTCAAGATGACGCACATTTTTGCCTAGCCCGTACGATGTACGCGGGGACTTGAAGTATGTCTCCAAGTCCACAGGCAAAAATGTGCGTCACTCTTGTTGCTCATAAACTGACTGCGGCTGTGGAATAGTTCTAGCGACGTTTTCATCACTACCTAAAGCCCCACGTCGCGAGAGCATTTCCAGTCGATGGTGTGTTATAATGCAGTTCTTCTTTTTACCCAACTATTGTGTTGCTCCTCTCGTCATGACCAACGTGATCATCTCAGAGAGAAAGCAGTAGGGTGGTTGTTGCGTGCTGTACCATCATCAGCATTGTTGACGGCTACTCCCGCCTTGAGTTGTTACATTCAAAGTGTTTTTTTTTTTTATGTTACTTCATACGCGAAGTTAACGATTTTCAGAGTTGGTTGGAAATGCTAACATGAAGCTTTAGTGTGATGATTTATTAGCTAGAGAATGATCTTTAGAAGAATGTAGGTGGATAGTTCCGTTAGAGTACGGCAGTATGAAAATTGAATAGAAGTTGAAAATGAGCGAAGGGCCATTAAAGCGACAGTTTTCAAGATGACGCACATTTTTGCCTAGCCCGTACGATGTACGCGGGGACTTGAAGTATGTCTCCAAGTCCACAGGCAAAAATGTGCGTCATCTTGAAAACTGTCGCTTTAATGGCCCTTCGCTCATTTTCAACTTCTATTCAATTTTCATACTGCCGTACTCTAACGGAACTATCCACCTACATTCTTCTAAAGATCATTCTCTAGCTAATAAATCATCACACTAAAGCTTCATGTTAGCATTTCCAACCAACTCTGAAAATCGTTAACTTCGCGTATGAAGTAACATAAAAAAAAAAAACACTTTGAATATAGCTCTGGTACTATCTTCGGTCGCAAGCTAATCGATGCACTCCCGAAACATAGGAATATCCACGAGCCTCTGACTTTTATCTGTCAAACTTTCATAGCGAATCAAAACAAACATAGTGTAGTACTAGAATGGGGTACGCTTATAGATGCACCAATAGGCTAGTCAACTCACTAGTCAAGTTGGTGCTACTGCCGTTGTCTTCGTTCTATCTCACTGGACCACGGTTGTTCTCACATATGAGGCTGGTTGATAAGGATGAAGTCACAACTCATGTTTTCGCAGAACAGACATAACAAGCAAATAATTACTTCAGCAGTTAAAATGACACTTACTACCACTCGAACTTTGAAATAAAACATTATTTTGAGATTTTTTTTCTTCTAGAACCACGAGAAAAGTAGCCAACATTTGTGCGTTTCATAAAAAAAAAATAGAAATTAGTTGATCCGGTTTTGTGAAATCGCTGGTAGAAAGTCACGTCAAAACTACTTGACAAAGTGGTCAATTCACATCGCATTGAAATGCAAAACACTTCAAATCCATTTGTTTGAACAGTGTGATTCAATGTGCAATACACTTGATCCATTATCAACATTTCAAAGTTTGAAACACTAGAAATCAACGTGTAGAACACATTGAACCATGGTGGAACTTCGTAAATGAGCAACGCAGGGAAGTCGGCTTACCCTCTTCCATGATTTTAAAATGGTGAAACTGCTATCAATTCACAAGACATTTGTAACCTGTTCTCAGCCAAATTTGCCAGTGTGTTTGAAGAAGAGCAACTCTTTGCTAATCTCATTACTTCCGTGGCCAGTAATGTTCCTTTGGTCAACCAAACGCTCAGCGTTGTCGACACCACTACAGATACTAGAGCAGCATCTAAACTTAAGACTGCGGATATGTTTCCTGTTCAAAAAAAGGGAAGCAAACGCGACGTAAACAACTACCGGGGAATCACGTCGCTGAGTGCTGTATCAAAACTTTTTGAATTGGTTGTCGTAGAGTCCCTAAATACGCATTGGAAGCAATATTTTAGTATAGATCAACACGGATTCATAACTGGGCGTTCCACAACGACGAACCTGCTGTGTCTAACGTCTTACATCACAGACAGTTTGATTGCTCGGACCCAAACGGACGTTATTTATACAGATCTTACGGCAGCCTTCGATAAGCTGAACCACGAAATTGCGATCGCTAAGCGTGATAGACTAGGGATCGGTGGAAATCTTTTGAGATGGTTTCGTTCATACCTTACGGAGCACCAACTGACAGTAACTTTGGGTACTTGTCGCTCAGCAAGCTTCTGCGCAAAGTCCGGTATACCTCAGGGCAGTGCTGAGATTTGTCATTGTCATTGACAGACTTTTGCGCGATATTGACAAAATTGTTTTTCACATAAAGGGTGATACGATCAAAATTTGGTCAATATCAACTTGACGTATTTCTTTCAATTGTGCATTTAAAAAACCTGAACACCCCTCATTTTGAAGGTGTGTGTGTGTAGAATGTTGCTCCTATTTTGATTTTGGAATTCACTCTTCAGTTGTCAAAATGCCGTCCAAGCAAGAAGAGCAGCGTATCAAAATTTTGCTCGCGCATCGCGAAAATCCGAGCTACTCGCACACAAAGTTGGCAAAATCGCTAAAAGTTGCCAAATCAACCGTTACAAATGTAATTAAAGTGTTTGGGGAACGTTTGTCGACAGCCAGGAAGTCTGGATCGGGGGGAAATCGAAAACCGGAAGCCGCTGAGACGACAAAGAGAGTTGCCGGTAGTTTCAAGCGAAACCCTAACCTCTCTCTCCGAGATGCCGCAAATAAGCTGGGTGTATCGTCTACAACCGTGCATCGAGCCAAAAAACGAGCCGGACTATCGACTTACAAGAAGGTAGTGACTCCAAATCGCGATGATAAACAAAATACGACGGCCAAAGCGCGATCCCGGAGGCTGTACACGACGATGCTGACGAAGTTTGACTGCGTGGTAATGGACGACGAAACCTACGTCAAAGCCGACTACAAGCAGCTTCCGGGACAGGAAGGGGAAAGGTAGCAGATGTTTTCAAGCACATGAAACTGTCAAAGTTCGCAAAGAAATATCTGGTTTGGCAAGCCATCTGTACCTGTGGCTTGAAAAGCAGCATTTTCATAGCTTCCGGGACTGTCAACCAAGAAATTTACGTGAAAGAGTGTTTGAATAAACGTCTGCTGCCTTTCCTGAAGAAACACGGTTGTTCCGTACTGTTTTGGCCGGATTTGGCATCTTGCCATTACGGTAAAAAGGCCATGGAGTGGTACGCCGCCAACAACGTGCAGGAGGTTCCCAAGGACAAGAACCCTCCCAACACGCCAGAGCTCCGCCCAATTGAGAAATACTGGGCTATTGTCAAGCGGAACCTAAAGAAGACCAAAAAAACTGCTAAGGGCGAGCAGCAGTTCAAGACAAACTGGCTTTCTGCGGCGAAGAAGGTGGACAAGGTGGCTGTACAAAATCTGATGGCAGGGGTCAAGCGTAAGGCCCGGCAATTCGGATTTGGAAAAGCGGAAGCCTAACTGAATATTTTTCCTGAATTTTATACTAATTGAACTTGAAAAAGAAATTTAATTTGATTTTTTAAATAAACTATTTCACCGATTTACACGCGTTTTCCCTTGACCAAATTTTGACCGTATCACCCTTTAGTCAATGATAGACTTGATCCTCAAAAAAATCTTTGTCAAAATGTCATTCATTTTTTCGTCAATGACAAAGGTTCACCTGGTAACAGAAAGGGTAATTTCTAACATTCTGAGACACATTATTGTTATCCAAGCTGTTCAGGCCGTAGATGCTTGTTCACTTTAATGGCTCCATGTAATTGTTTTCCTCAAGCCATTTAATTTCATTTTAAATTTAGCTAATAAACAAATCAGCACATGTTCGTCACTGACAAAAATGCCACTGACAATTGACATGGTTTGCCTTGACGATGACTGTTAGCTCAAACGAGTGACCAAAGCAG